CAAAGCGTTGCTTTCCAACAAAGGCAATTATTAATTATTGACATGTTAATATCGTTGATTTACTCACTGTTAGCAACGTTCGAATATAAACTCGTCCAAAATTTACAATCACATATTTCATATACATGTCAAAACTGTATTAAAATCTGGAAATTGTTTAATTTCATTTTAATAAAAAAATAAAAGATAAAATAAAGACCAATAGATGTCAGCAACGTGTTTTTCATGGTTTATTTGACAACAAACATTCCTACAATTTTCTATCGTTCCGCTTTTCCATGTTTCTTTAAAGCGGGTGTGTTAAATGTAAATTTTCGGATTTTACGGAATCTTGAAGGAACAAATTTCTCACGATAAAAGTAATAGCTATAACATAAAATCCCACTTTTTGTTTATTTAGGAGACTTGCTTTCAAAACAGTATTTTAAATTTTCAACAAAATTATTACTCCGACTCACCCCCCACAATCCAACACGCCACATTGTTATGTTCATGTCATATTCGCAGAATTTTCACCATTGAACATGATGACGGTGCAAATGTGCTTGCACTCACACTGAATTTAGCACAAAAGGCGTGTAAAACATATTTTATTTTATTTCAGTTGAAAATTATTATTACAAGAATGGATAACAAAAATATACTGAGCGACACTGTAAAAGCTATAAACTCTATATATCATCAGTTATTACCAAAATAAACGTAAAACTTAGAGTATGTGTGCATTTTCAAAAATGGAAAATAAAACATTATACAATTACCTAGACAATTAATAAATTGCAAGTCTGTAATTATCAGTTCTAATTTCATTTCTAGTAACATTAGTCAACACGATATTTGCAATAAAATATAATTATAATAATTTTAAGGCTAATTTACAGATAGGTATTAATTATAACAACAAATTAATTACGTATAAAAATTTGATGGCAATTAAATGTTCTTTAAACTGGCCCTTAATACATATTATTATTATATTATAACATAGTATTACTTAATACATATTTAAATAATTATATTTTTTTATGCTCAGCGACATTAAAAATGCAACACCATGCTAATAACCCAAAATATAATTAACAACAACATCTTATTATTTCAATCATGATCTATTTTACATTTCTTTGTATTTTTTTTTTGTATTTTAGTCAAAATCTGTATAGTTCTTTGAAGCTCACATTTTAAAAAATCAATGGTTATACAGGGTGTGTAATATACCAAAAACATGGAAAAAATGTTTAAAAAACTTTGTCAAAAAGTTTTAACATTTATTTTTTGAGATTTGACCTTTTTTTAATGATACTGATGACCTTGTATAGGTATGTTTTTTTTATAATTATTTAGTAAAGGTACAAAAATTTTGCCAATAAAGCCACAAATAACATTAAACAAAGTTACAATTTAGGAGACAACTTCCTTGTTTCCTCTTCTAGTAGCCTGTAGCGAAAAAACTTGGAAAATTATTTTTCTAACAGAAATAAATAGTCAAATATTAAAATTTAAACCCTCATAACTTCGAAATTTTTATAGATAGAATTTAATATCTTACCTTACATGGCAATTTTTTCTAGGGCACGAGTTTTGGCGCACCCTATATAAAGTTATAATCATTTAAATAAAATATTGAATAATTTTATTACTTCTAACTACATATTTAAAACTTTATTTATCAAAAACACAAACGATAACAAAACTCTGTACCAACCCGCAAAAACGACTTTCCGATTATTAATACTTAAAATACTAGAAGAAGAATGAAGCAAAACATTTTGTTCAGAATTCAGTTAAATTGAGATTTTTTGTTTGAACTTTGATGTATTAAAAACAAAGACCAATAAAAAAATATGTCGTAGTTTTTACTTATTGAACTCTGAAACTCATTTTTATCCTAGTTCGACCCTGGTCACACATTTTTATTGTATTAATAATTCGATCAGAACTCTCCATTTGAAGGGTAATTAAAGTGTTTTGTCTAATTCACAAAAATGCGTGTTTTGGTATATTTATTATTAATTTCGTTTTCGAAGAAAATTGGGTTTGACATTTGGTGAAAAGTGCTTTGTGTAATAGTGACATATAAATAAATTTGCTATTAGTGAGTGTGCGACCGATGCTTTTAACCGGACGCTTAGTGATTACAACACATGAGGAAGTTAAGGACTTCGATAGGAAATCCAAAACAAAGGATTCACGGTTGCTCCAAATCTCCCCTATTCACCTCTCAAATGAATTATGGACAAACAGTTGTCGCTCTCTCCATGCAAAATTCAAATACACGAACCGTTAACGGAATGGAATTCGACGATTCAAGTTCGCAACCCATGTAATTGGAGGGAATCTAATTGAAAAAGAATGGACGTCAATAGGGCTTTGTTCACTTTGTTTTCGGTCAAAAAAGTTACTCAACTCGATGGGTAAAACAAAAAACAAATGGCTTGTCAATAAATATGTAGTCACATCGATTAATATTTTCTTATTATTTCTATTATTCTTTGTTGTTATTAGATGCAGCACGCTTATTAAGTTTATGTTAAGTTTACATTACTTTATTTTCTGTAATTGGGTAATTAAACACCTGTTTAAAATAAATAAAGTATTGTTATTAATGTTATTATTATTAAATATCATGTTGACATAGACTTGTTTACTTCCGATGCAAACAAGAAGTGGGTTATCTCCGGTAATCTCATTAGGGCAATTAATAATCGCGATAATATAACCACATACGAATGACTGAATCATAATACCAAGATACAACACAGTTATTCTCTTTTAATTAAATCTGGATATCACAAGAACTGTCAAATAATTTAATTTCCGGTGAAATTTGGTCAGGTAGTAACGTATCCCAAAATGTGCCACGCTTTTCCGATACTTTTACAATACTTGAATGTAGTAATTCCATTGCGTATTATACCAAAGCTATTGTTTACTTCGGTTAAACATATTTGTTAGCACTGGTAAATAACTAAATAAATAATAAATATTAGTTATTTGTTATTAAACGATTACTGCCTGGCTTGTACGCTCTATGTAACAGGAAAAAGCGGAAAAAGTAATACAAAACGTACTAATTTGTGTATTGTAAATTTCAAATAACTCCCAAATTGTTTATTTTTTTATCTAATCCGTGATCTCAAAGACGCTATACATCGCTTAACAACAATACGTCGAAATATACAATTCGAAAAGTTTTTCTGAAATTCACCATAAGCCCAACATTTTCAAAATAGCATATGAAAAAAAAATGTATTTAGTGAGTTTTACAAGTGGTTACAATTAATGTAGTTATTTCTGTTACATCTGTTTTTTATAATCCAGACTAAACAATAAAAATCTGGTGTGAACATCACACGACTTTCCTTATCCTACTTATTTGAAAAAAAAATTGCGTTAGTGCCAACTGCCGGATTACACGGGAAGTAGATCATAGTTGTCGCGGGTTCGAGTCTGGAGTGCAGTTTTTTTTTAGTTCTGTACCCATTATTATTATTGTTTTATCACATTTTACTGTTTAATAAGGTATATTTCATGATTCTATATAATTTGTATCCCCATGAATTTATTGTATCTTCAACCGTATAATTTTGGAACTGTTTTACGGCCGACTTTTGGTCTTTGCGGCTGAACGGTGCGACCGATTTTTACCAATTGTTTCGTACTGCGTCCCCTTCCTACAAGTAACTCACATACCAAATTTCAAGTTTCTAGCTCTTATTATCGTTATCGAGATATGCTGTTTACAGACAGACACACACACTTATAGGATAAGGAAAGTAAAAATTACATCTAAAATCGGTATACATGGTATTTCATTTTTTCCTTTGTATACCGGTCCTAAAATTTAATAATCTAAATTTTGAACTCTTTGAGCAATGTTTTTAATAATAAATTTATCCAACCGCACATGAGACAATTGTAGGAAGAGCGAGCGGTAAACAAAAAATACAGACAATAACGAGGCCGAGAGAATCTCACATGACCAGATTATCAGGCGAATATTAATTCAGAAAGTGTTTCATTGTTTTTGCTATAGAGTCGTCGAGATATCTGTTAGACTGATTTAGCTCTTACCAAGTCTCATTTGAAGCTTCAATTAAATAAAATTCCCCACACTGGAGTAACAATGAATTTCCCTGTTTTTATTCATTCAGTTTAGGTTCTTGGCCCAAGACATCAGTTTAAATCTCGTGAAACGACGTTACAACAAACGTGTTTTTTCTCAAATGGCTTTCAAGGAAATTATTTATTGTGCGATTTGTTCCCTAATCACATCATTACCTGCGTCTTTAAATTTTGTGTATAATTTGAATAGAAATTGAAAAGTTTTAAATAACTTGTTGAACGTGTATAGCAATTGCTCGATCAACGTCAATAAATTTATATCTCCTCGTAAAACCTATGCGAAATTTTTTGTCACGGTTTTACCGAAATAATCACCTCATTTTCATCAGGTGAAAGTATTTCAGTCTAAATTAAACCCCTGACAGGCAATTATTGAGAAAAAACAGATCGAGCTCTAAAATAATTTACGTTTCAAATATGTAGATTTGAGTACGTGTAGGAAATGGGGGAGTTCTAGAAGACGGAACAGGATTTAATTAAAATGAATGAATCCTCAGGCTATTGTCAAGTGGCTGAGATCTTACACACGTGGATACGTTTGTTACTACCGAACCTACTTTCCAGATTGTTCGATTCGTCTTCCTAAATGCAAGAAAAAATTGATTTTGAAATAATAAAATAATAAGGAAAGCGACACCAAGCTTAAAAGCTGAGATCACAACTGCCATCTACTGGCAGATTATTAAACAAAGAACTTTACAACATTATTTCCTGTACTTATTTTGTGTTCTAATATTACTTATTTTTCTCTAATGCTCTACTGAATTGCAAGAAAGTCAATAACTCGATTAGTTGTTAATGAACACTTGATAATTGATTTTACTTTCTTAATTTAACTCAAAGCTTAAGGTCTTCTAAGAATAAATAAAACAAACTGGGTACTAAATAAATTTATTTATATTGTCAACGATTAATAACTATATGTTTCAATTGAGATATCGAAAACACACTAATTTGGTCAATTTTACTTAAAGGGTGGAACTATTGTTGGGTGAATAAAAAATAAGGAAAAAATCACAACCTTTTCATTGTTAGAACGCACTAACCATTTTAACTTTAAAGCCAAAGCTAACGGCAATTTTAATTTATGCATATATGTATTTCATAAGATTCATTCAAAATTTAACAACTAATTAACGATACTAAGTTAATTTGACAACTTGGTTGTTACCACTTATACTGCAAGATAAGTATTTACCAACAATAAGTAACAATAAATACATTTTTTAAATTTATTTAGAGATCACTTATGCTTTGGTTCAAAACTAGTTTAAAATCATCATAATCTTTTTTTATACAAATATAATCCTGTCAGTACACTTATTGCTAATGAATACTATAATTGAACAAATAAATGATTGACTATCAGATTATTTTGTAACTTCTAACACCACCCTACTCTATTGGAATACTTATGGAAAATCTCCCTACATATGACCGACATTTGGACATTTCTACTCTCCCATCTAAAAAATACATCTACTGTGTTATCATTGAAAGTTACATATCACTATCTACAATGGAAGCAGAAATTAGAAATCACGGGATTAGTCATTTGTAAAAAAAATCTCAAAAAGGCACAAAATCAATTATCAAACTTGTAATAAATACTGGTTTTTGGACACCACATTTCTAAGGAATGCAAACAAACTTTTAGACCGATCAGAAACTCACGAAAGACCGGTTCAAAATCGAAAGGGTTATTTGGTTTGAGTCATGAGAACTTGTGCTAAGGTTACGATCGTTGATTACAGAAGGCAAATAGCGACCAACACCAAATTACTGCATGTGCGATCTTTGTTCCAATAAAGTAGTCACTTACTACTTTAATTAGTATTAACATAAAATTGGTATGTATTAAAGATACGTATATGGTTAAAGATCGCTTCCAATTTGATGGATGGAAACCTTAGAGATAGCACTAATGTGTCTAGAATTAACATGAATGCTATATTATGAACAATGATGTGTGATTTGATATTTAAGTATTTCTACTGTACATACATTGTGCTGTTCACGTCTTGTATATTTAAGGAATATTTTCTAAGTTGATAGCATCTAGAAGGAACATTACCAACAGTACCACTTTAACAAATAGGTGCAACGCAGACATTGTGCAATTCTACTTGTACTATCAAAGACAAATAAATAAAAAATAATCTCGTTAGAGTATTATAGAAGATACTAGTCACATTGTTACCCATATTCATTACAGAATACTGACTCATTTTATAAGACAGATGGAAAACTCTTAAATCAATTTACAAAATTCTATCACTTTTACACAGAATGAAGTCTCACCATTACCTTATTATAAAACTGATCATACCGATTTGCAATAAAATGTTTAAAAATAGCACCATAATTCGTAACACACCAATGGTGAGCCAACAGTACCAACTATAGTACAGCAATAGGAGCATTCTGCAATTGAATTACAACCATCGGTTATAATACATATTTGACATGTACTTTTAATACTCATTGACTAAGTCGACAATTTTATGGCATCATTGAACATAAAAAACCTGGATCTACTGACGCTACTTTTGCCGTTAAAAATGCATGCATACAAAACAGCAAACTTTGTAGGATAGAACACTCCAATTCCTGAAAAACAATAATTATAGTTCGTAAACAAAAACACATCATACAGTCATACCTTCGTGTCAATAGCCCTAGATTCAGCATCTTGGAAATGTAGTTTCAATTTTGATTTACCATCATCTGATGATCCCCTCAATTGAGAAAATTTATACTGCCAAACAGGTGTTTTCGAATCACCTTCATGCAGAGAAAATCCTAAGTTCCAGTCAAGAGTCAAACCGGCCGTTTTTCCGTTGCAACTAACTGTAAATGTTTTATTCTGCAAGTACCCACAATTAAAATAAAATAAAATTGTGTTCAATTTAGTAGTACCCCTAATTTCATAACGGCCGTACAAACTGAACAATGCCAAGCATTTTCAATTTTGAGTAACTCTTGTCTTGTTTCAACCGAAAAGTATCGAGAATCTTGACCAGAAGTTTGAACTAGAAAACAATGTTGCCGTTCATCAACATTTTCCGAGTCCTTAACTACACGAAACATTGTTTGATATACTTTAAACATAAGAGGACATTTACTCCAGTCCATAACATTTAACTATAACAACCAAAATAAGTTATTGTAGTTAAAATATGGGTGCAACTCACAGGTGGTGAGTCAAACAACATTAAATCAGTACCCTTCAACGCCAAAAAACGAGGTTTATAATTTTGCCAAGGTTGATTATTATTGAGAACGCCCTCATTCACCCAACCCATATATTCGATCCGATCTGACACGCTAAAGTTGCGGTTATATAATTTCATCTGTAACGAAGTTTTGAGCTAACGCGTATTACGGTTTTTTCTTACCTGGAGACTTGTTAACCCTATGATATTATCAGTTATGTATTTAAGCCACTGAGAGAGTATAGCTGAGTCATCACAATGTATTATGCCCGTACTAACGCCGTTAAGGCCTCTAACTTCAAATGCGTTAGGTCTTAACTTATCTGTACCAAAAATGTATCTAGTAACATACGCCATCATTAGTGGCAAAGTGACGATATCTACCCAACGAGTTTGAGGCTCTTGTTCCGACTCTGAATATATAGAACTAGGTCTACTACTAGTACTGTTTGTAGTGAGCCTCAAACTCTCATCAGATGCTTCTCTTTCGTCACTATTACTATCGGTTTGTTGCGATTCTTTATCTTCCTGTTTTTGCAAAAAGGGCGTCGCGGCTTTGTAGTGTTTAACGGTTAAAACAACTAAGTCGCCAGCGTTTCTTAAAATGTTAACAGCGTCATCATGAGGACATGCTGTTATGTATTCACCATTAACTAAAAATCAATCTTGTCAAAAAAAATATATTAAGCAATCATCAGTACCTTTAATAATAGCATCGCCTACAAAAAGCTCTCCAGTTTGATCAGCTGCTTGATTTTTGTAAATCCTTGATATTAAAATTGGTAATTTGTGCTCAGCTCCACCTTTTATACTCAAGCCAAGACCTCCAACTTTTTGTCTTCTAATTTGCACCATCCTCTCCTAAAATATAGTTTTCACTTGATTACATAATCAGAGTCATAATTACTTTAGCATTTAAAGGTTTAGATTCCAGAGGTATTAACTCTTCTTTTTGGAGCCTTAAGACTTCCATAGAGAGATGTAACCTTACAGGAATTGGTCTACTTTTTCCATCACTAACAGTCACCATCCCTGTCCGCACTTTTAATTTCTGATCCACCTTTTCTTCAATTGGAGTGGTCATTCTTGTTGCGTTTATCCTCATATTGAACCTAACAAAACACAATATTTACCACTACATCATAATTGATTTTTTTGCATCCTCATTACTTTCTTCTATATGAATTATAGTTCATACCTTTGTAACTTGAACACACTATTTTTTTAAATTAAATTGTAACATTATTTGATTGCGTTTACGGTTTTTTAAGGATTTACTAATTTACTAGCAAAACATTTTATAACTTTGACAATCTAGAAGCCATTTTTAAAAGGTCTAATCCAAAACAAATGATTGAGCTAACTCAACGTTGCCACATTCATCGCGACCTCAAACAGTAATCCATCCTACACAAAACCGGTAAATATCGAATTAGCATCTCTTTCGCAACAGTATTTACTTGAATCCGTGCAAATTTTGTAAACAAACATAGATTTTTTAGAAAAAGATCACATATGTCGTTTTTCTGCATGCCTTCTGGCAACGCTGCACTTGCAGCTCCGGGTTACTAAACCAACAAGTAACCTTTAAGCTTTAACTAGTCTATTTTAAATAAAAATCGATTAAAAGCGACTTTTTTTATTAGAAATATTTTTTGTACATTGCTTTATTAACCCTTGAAGCTGTCGGTTTATTAATCTTCTCTGAAATAAAATGCCCAGCACTAATCAGTTTTTTCAAGTCTATTCCAGTTTCGGCCCCCATTCCATGCAACATATATACCAAATCTTCACTTGCTACGTTTCCTGTAGCTCCCGCTGCATATGGACAACCCCCAAGTCCAGAAACTGACGAATCAACTACTTTTATTCCTAACTCAATTGCTGTACAAATGTTGACCAGGGCTTGTCCATAGGTATCATGGCAGTGGATGGCAAGCTTATCAGCTGAAGTTATTTTTAACAAATCCTTTATCATTTTTTCCATTGTTGATCTTGTCCCCACTCCTATGGTATCACCAAGAGATATCTCATAGCAACCCAAATTTAAAAGAGATTCACATATTGTCGTTACCGCTTTGGGTTGAATGTAACCGTCATATGGGCAACCAACAACACACGAGATGTAACCACGAATTTTGAGAGTTTTGCCAAGACTTTTAGTTTTTTCTACGATTTCTTTAATCCTGTTAACTCCTTCTTGAGTTGAACAGTTGGTGTTCTTCCGTGAGAAGCCTTCTGAAGCTGAGGCAAACACCGCAATTTCTTTTGCTCCAACTGATACCTATAAAAACTAAAATCATATCTGACCCAAGTCAGTTTTTAACTAATTACAGCAGCTTCCAAGCCTTTAACATTTGGTACAAGAACTGGGTATGATATTGAAGGTTTCTTGTCTATTTTTGTGAAAACTTCACTGTTGTCGCCCATTTGGGGAACCCATTTTGGGCTCACGAAACTAAAACAATTTGTTGAATTTGCGTAAAAGTTAATTAAGTTGAGCCACCTTGTCACTTCTATGCTTTGTAAACCAGACTCAGATAATTTATTAATAAATTCTATTTTTACGTCTGTGGGGACGTGCGTGGGTTCGTTTTGTAGTCCATCTCTAGGCCCTACTTCAACTATTTTGACAAAAGGTTTGTGCTAAAATGTATTTTGATGGGTTTGTTATCAACTGTAAGTCACTTACAAGATGTCGTTTAAAATGTGATTGAGCTCTTCTTGAAAGCAGTGAACATGCAGTAATAGGAAACATTTTTATTTAATTTAATTGTTTTGCTTTATCTTTGTTTATGTACGACGATATCAAGGTTATCCTATTGGGAAAGTGGGGAGAAAGTTGGAGTGAAATAAAAAGTGAATAATTTTTAGAAATATTTATTTTAACTGAAATAGATAACTGAAAGATACCTATTTTTACAGGTATACGTACAAAATAATTTGTTAGATTTTAACAAAGATAGGTACAAGAAACCATTGTGATTTTCTCACGAATTAACACAATTTAGAAAAGCAGTGGAACTGCAACAAAACCAATAAAATAGGTATTTTAAGCTTAATTTTATTTAAGCCGTTTGAGTTACTCAACATATACATTGCATAAATCATATTTTTAATAACGTCTACAACAGGATTTAACTAAGAACCCTATTTGTATAAATCTGTTTGAAAAAACTTACAACTGAATAAATACAATAACAATCTCATAGATAAATTCACAGTCTATTTTTTAATCTGAACACTGCCAAACACTTTTGAAAAAATATACATAGTTTTTTGGGTAATCAATATATTGGAATGCAAACTCTTTTCCACTATCAAATAACTTTCTTACCAAGTAACACATAGATAAAAAAGGACAAGGAACTATCACACTATAAAACTAAAAAAATTTCAAGCTTTTATGACTCTGTGAAATAATTTTTAAAACACAAACTGCAAAGAGTAAAAAGAACAGCAAACTATTAAAATAATATATCATGAAGTATATAAGAAAAAATTTATTTATCCTTGCTTTCGCCCACAGCATGAACAGTAGTAATGACTTTAGCTACGGGTACGAAATTCTCATCATTTTGATGGTAGTGCTCATCAACCAGCTTCATTTTTTTCGCGGGCGGTTCTGCGTTTATTGTCGCCGTATCAAAATCATCGATTTCCGGTTCAATAAACCCTCTCTTGTTGTAAAATCCGTAAGACCCGAGCTCGTTTTTGTTAAACAGATTTTTGATGTTACGTACTAACGAATTGAAGAAGTTATCATCAGAATTATCCTTTTCGAAGTTCATGTTTTCGTATTTGGATTCCATTTCTTCAACTGCCTTGAAGAACTCGTTTTCGGTGTTGTTTTCATTGTCAACACCCTCATCATCCTTGTTGAAAATAAAGAACTCCTCCATGTTCAATCCATCATCTTCTACTTTCTTAGTAGATAAGAGAGATCTGCTGATCGTTATTTGTTCTTGTTCTGTTGATAACTCTTTATTCATTTGTGACAAACGAATGTTGGGGAGAGATACCAACAGGACTGACAACATGACGATCATAAGACAGGTAGAAGGCGTGGCTTTAGATGATGTCGAATTGAATATTAACGACTGAAGTTTGTTAATGTGTGCCATTAGTGTTTTATTTTTCTTTTGTAATTCTTTGACACGTTGCATTAAGTTCCTGTTTTCTTCCGAGCCACGTCGTACCTTTTCTTCAAGCCCATCGACGTACTCCTTTTTACGCTTGCGGGAATCTTGAGCTGAGATCTTATTACGGATTTTCCTTCTGATACGTTTCAATTCCCTGTCTTCCAATTTGGTCAATGGATGATAGGCAGGGAGTTGAATTCCTTCTTTCTCCAATAGACGTTTCTCCTCAGCCGTTAGCTTTACTTCAGTCAGTTCTCCAGGACGGTGTGTCGACTCTACCTCTTCTAAAAAATTGTAATTAGCACAACAAACTATGTCAAATTATTTGGAAAACCTTTAATTCTTGTTGGTTCCACTTTACGTCTCGCAGTATTAGTAGGAAACGTTGTCACGTGAATTCGATCTGTTTTTAATTCACTAGCGTTAAGTATCTTGATGCTTTTTAAGCCATAGGGGAGTATTACTGGCTTGCCATTGGTTGTCAAAGACTGCACTTTCAATATTTGCTTCTTACCAATTTTTTTAATTGGTGCTAAAAGTTAAGCAACTAAGATATATATTCAATTGTTTTCAAGTAACTCACTATTTATTATTTGTTTGTTAATAGTCTTATTGTTGGCGGGGTTCTGGATTATAATTTTTGTTCTTGCTTTTGGTTGATTAATGATAACAGGGACCGTCTCCACTTCAACCTTTTCTTGAAGTGGTTGCAAAAAATCAAACAACGAATCATCAATAGCGTCGACAGTTCTTAGAGGCGAAACACTGGAAGAATTCAATTCAATCATGCATGTTGTTAAAACAAGAAAAGCTCCAAATTCATTTGAAATTTTGATGAATCATGACATGAACAAACGGTTCTTATGCAACTAAAGGAATTTGACTAATTCGCAAAATGGTGAGACAGAAAATGCAAAATGTGCCAAATTTCATATCTTGTTTCTGTGTTGCAAATTTAATTTCAGAATCAGAGCCTACTTCAAATGTTGCATAAAAAATGCAGTATTCTGTCATGAACCATAAAGTGGTTATTATCGAACGTCATCAAATTTTCTTAGTTCAGTGCATAAAACATGCAAACTGAAAATGTGCTCATAAATATTTACATTTTTTATTCATATTCTGCTAATGTTTTATGATCAGTTTTTGTCTTTCTCTGGCTGACGTTAGCGGTAACGGGTAACATATGTATTTATTAGTCATAGTATAAACACAGTTATGATTATTTTGCCATATTAATTAGGCTTGATTGTCTTTTGATTTTTGATGCCTGGGAAGGTGTGGTAACCATATGGCCACCGCATGTTGTTGGTCGATTCTAACCTAATTTGTGTGCAATATGTTGCAAGTTTAAAGTTGAATAGGGCTTCTTTGCTAGGAATACGTACGATTCATCAGTGAAGATGCTGCTCCTTTCGCTTTCAGAGACATCATTTCTGGGCGAGATGTATCCATCAGTGTTGGAGCTTGCATCACTCAAGGTGTTAAAGTCATCAGTTGGGCTGTTAAGGAAATCATCCTGGATCCCGTTTTCCACAGACCTAATGGTATCGAAAAAATCCGAGGTCTGAAATGAATTTATGAAGGTCAATGAATCAGTTTACGAAATAATAAAAGCATGCTGCGTTCACGTTGCGCTTATTGACCTTTAAATCCTCGTATAAGATAATAAGATAAGAAAAATCCTCGTAAGGTTTCGTAATCTAGGGCGTAAATGATCAATTTTTAGAGAAAAACGCGAACTAACCATAAATTCGTTGTTTTCATAATTTAGCATAGCATCCACATTCTCCATTTCATTGTACCGCCCATCGTCGGGTTTGAAAAACTGGGAAAACTGCTCCGGGTTAAACATTTTGCATATTTTGGGGTATCACCAAAATTGCACTTTGCCGACACTTTGTTAAAAATCTTCGTCAATATACACTGATATTTTGCAATATGTTACACCGCACACTTCGATGTGAAAGCCATGACAGCCAGCGTGGAATTAATGACGTCACTAAGCAGGCTTGCCCCCGTTAACCGTCTGCAACTGAGTTGTGCGTTGCATACCTACGCACACTAGATCGTCGTGGTTGGTCGCGCCAGTGGAGGGGGTTCCCCCTCACGACGTCATAATCGTCTTGTAATTTTGGGAAGTACAGGCTTGCTCATTTCAAATTTACGTCTAAGTCGTAAAAATGATGAAATTGTTAGATGCCCTAGGTACTTTACAACGAAATAAAAAAACTTTCCCTAAAGCAGAGAGGGACTATGTTCCAATCTTTTTAAACTTTGGCACATATCCAATAGTTTGTCGAGGAGAATAAGTTGAATAACGACTACGTTACTAGTCCTAAATTAACTTCAAATCTACTACTAATTGTAAGACTCGTTAATTAAATGTATCTCTATCAAAGAGATAACGGATAACAGCACCTAGGTCATTATGTCATTAAAAATTGATAATGTCATTTAAGGTCATTCGAACGTATATAGTTTAATAATGGGATCAAGGTTTTGATGACATTAATAAACAACCCAAAACAATACTTGCAACTTTTGTTTTGTGTTTAAACGACCTCGCTGAAATAAAAATACTCCGGGATTTTCCGCATTGATACGTTAATTGGAAGTTAATAACCAACAAAAGTATACAACAATACACATTTACATTTGAAATCACAAAACTAGAGAAATAGCAAATCATACAAACAAAATCAATTATCGAATACAAGTCAACCGGTTAATCCATTGCATGTGTAGGCAACCTATTATACATTTCGTCAAATTTTGCTTTTATCAAACGTTCGAATTAATTACTTTGTTTATAGATCATTTAATTTAATTTTTTCTGATTATAAACTATGACGCAAAATACTTAATTATTGAAACAATATTTGCTAATTAGAACCTGAAAATAGACTTTGTATGCTGCTTTGTCATGTCATTAAAAATATGTTTTGTCACACGTGGAAAATCATAAAAATTATCAGTTTTTACTATCACTTGTGACGAAAATATACTGTAATTATTGTATTATTTTGAAAGACTTAAATTTTCATGAATTCAGTTTCGCCTAAAATACTGAATTGAAATTTTATGAAATAACCATCTGTCGTAAGATAAAGGAATTGCATGTAATTTTTCCATATAAATTTCAGCATTATAAATTGATAACAACTTGATTTATTGCTATTTTAAATAATATTACAGTTTCTCATAAATTGAACTTGTATAAACAAAAAATCTCTAAACTTTGTAAAAGTAAATTGCGACACAATAAAACACATTTAATATGTTTGTTTTATTTGCTCACATATTTTTTATCTCAGACACAATGAAAGTCAAGGTTTTAAAACATTTTTCTTGTAAGGATAAAATTGACTTTCCTCATGTTTTTTTTCAAAATTTATATTCCAATAAAGGATGAGACTAAAAATTTGCATAAATAAATAAATAAAATGTTTTTTTTGGGTAACATCTTTGATCTATTTACGGTGTGATCACAAACAAAGACTTTCTCGTTTATTTATTTAATCTTATCTATTACTCAGGTTATCAAAAATCGTAGTTTTTTCTGAAATGTCTTATCCAAATAACATTGTGCAATTTATTGTCGTAGATCAAGAACATGTATTTCAGTAATTGTAACAAATTTGTAACTTGTAGTGTTAACCAAAAGTAAAGTTGTAATTATTTCTCAATAGATTAGAGTTGTTAACGAGCAATTGTATAAGTACTACAGTTTCATTTAGTTTTGCTATTTATACGTATTATTATCAAAGGGCTGTGTTTTTCCGCCTGCTCCTATCTATTTATTGTAACAAGTTCTCTATGTATTACCTACTACATTTGCCAGTCTGTTGGATCTTAATTTACTATTTGATAGTTGTTTTCGCAAATCTACGAATGCAATGGTTTATGTATATTAAGCATGGGAGTCTAAAAATAATAATAATAACAGTGCGTGCCAAAGATAAAAATGTCTAATGTAGTTTTTGAAGTAAAAAAACTATATAAAAATTGTTTCAAATTGGTATGAACTTTCAAGGCCTAGTTGCTCATCAAATAAATGTCTAAATAAGCACTGAAATCGAATTGAAAATCGTACGTGGAAGTCAACATTTACCGATAAACCTACATGAAAATACCAAGCGTTCAATTAAATTTCTAATCAAAGTAGCCTGTGACTTTGAAATTAAATTGCAAATATTGAATAATGTAGAAGAAGATATGAAACTTGTCGATTTTCATAGCTGTCTTTAGATTTTACAATGTTGCCAACTTTATTTCAAAGTCTTGGACCACTTTGATCAGAAATTTAATTAAACGCACAGGATAACAGAAATTGAAGATCAACGCGAGGAATATTACCTTTTATCATTTTTTACTCATAATTTATGCATGGTTAAATGTTAAAAATGTATAATAAGGATGAATTATTAAATTCCGTGGGTAAGTATTAGATAAAATAGGAAAAAACTGATTTCAGAATAAAAAAAATATTGTTTGAAATGCTAATTAGATGTATGATTTATTTAATGTGTATTATTCAAGTTAATTGCTTCCAGCAATGTAAAAAGTCGACTGACGTAGATATAGTTCCACTAGGTACTGAAACAAATGAATGTATAATACCCAAGGGTTTTTATTACTCGGTTATTAGTTTCATAGATACAGAGCATAGCCTACGTAAATATCATTATTAAGGTCGAGTAAATAATGGAATGAACGAATCCCTCGAGTTCTTTTTGTCTCCAATTACACTACATCATAATACAACCTGTGGGTATTGTGCTTTTAACACAAATAAATATTTTACTATCAAGTTGCGAATTTCATGAAAATCTTGACTTTTCGTTTTACTTGACATATCAAATAGTTGTTAAAGCTTATAACATAAGAATTATCGGGCTTGGGTTAGTGGCTGTATAAAGCTTAATAAAATTATTATTGCTTGGATGTGTTCCTGTTTTTATGTACCAGTCCATACTTGACAACGTTGTCAATCTAATCAATCATTTTTCTCAGTAAAGTGTACATTGTAAATGATTTAATTGGGATGCGAAGGCATCGCTGCGTCACCGAATGAAAAATCCCATTATCACAGTTCTTCGAAGTTTGAGCAATAAACGGGTTATTTTATTTTCTTATCTATGCTGGTGTATGTTCGGGAAAAAAATGACAATCCGGAATCTGGGATGTTTCAATGACGACAATTTCTAGCATTAATGATAAAGTTGATGTCACTGTTTGTGTAGCAAAATTGTTTGCCAATGGCTTGGTATGTATTTACTTATTTAAGTTTAATTGCAAATAGTGCGGTTGCTTGAGGCCTTAGTTAAAAATTGTTTATCGACTTGTTATCCGTAAACTGTAAGTTCATTTCTGGATTCCAATACTGCGATCATCAACATATAAAAGCTTATTTTCGTGAGTTCTTCGTGCGCTGGCGCTAGTCGTTTCTCGTTCAGCAAACACAGTCAGTGGGGCCAGTAACTCTTAGCTCGTTCAGTGCGTTTAGAGGTGCGGTAGTTTGTGGCCGCGGTTTAGTGATATGGGATCGCACGTGTGATTAACTTAGTGCTTCTGATTTTACAGTAACATTTTAACATGACTTATGTGATATTCAACCAGTATGTAATTGTTATTCTAGTTGAAATATACGAATATATTCATATCTAACACGTTTTTCTTGCTTCTCACTTGTGTGAATTTAAATCACATCACGCGAGCCAGTCTGACTTAAGTCATTGCGGCTTGGGATCAAAACACCAACCTTTCTTTATCCAGTCTCGTCATTCTGATCCGTGTGGGACTATTACTTGTTGTCTGGTTACAATGATAAACAGGAAATACACTTCTGCAATCTGTTAAATCCGCTGCAATCAAAGTGTGTTTGCTTGAAATTCCGATAAAGTGATACAAAGTAAGGAAATAAAACTTTGCTTGTGTTCATAAATTTAACTTGGAGTTAAATAAATGTCAAACCGAAAATTTGTAATAATTGCTTTCTACCTGTCTTGGGCCACATAATAGATTCCAGGTACACACTTGGCGTATTTCGGTCCTCTCCTCATTGAAAAAATGCAGTTGATGCCGTGAAAGTAACTCGAAACTGAAACGCTACATACCTACTCAACTAGTATTCCGATTTGTGTATATTGCACACTTAGATTACAAGGGTTGTGAATGACCGGGGCAATGGAAATACTGCAAGGTTTTTGTTTTGATATTTAGCAACTAACTAGAAAGCTTATAGCGTAAAATTGCATCAAATATCTTTAGTGCTTTATTACCAAATTGTCTCTTTTTGTTTCAGATTTCAACGAATTTTCTTACTTTCAATTTTAGAAAAACTATTAAGGTAGTTTACCGTGGTTGTGGCAATAAGACGAACGAACATTAGCAAACCGATAAAGTTTAAGTGTCCGACGGATAATGTATTTATTTCTGTGTTATATCTATGTTTGTGTCGTTTTTGTGAGTTTATCTGAAGCACATTACACCCAACAATGGGCCGTCCACATCGAAGGTGGGCCCCAGGTAGCTGACGAGGTCGCCCGAGACCATGGCTTCGAAAATCAAGGCCAGGTAAGAAAGGAAGTTTCTTATTTCCTAACAATTTTTTCCGGCATTTCGGTTCGATAACACTAGCCTTGCCGAAGCCGATATGGCCATTTCCTAAGATAATTTATGTATTTGACACTGCTCTGATCTGACGCCTAGAACGCACGCGCGCGTGACTTAAGTCACACATGTCAAGTTATCATTTAATTTTTAAATTTACGACTACTTCATTTAATGGCGTACTATACTATTTTTACTATTATCTAAATTAAATCTACTTGAAAAAATTGAAAAAATATATTTGTTTAAATCACATTTTATCAAAAAATTATTACAAACGAATAATACTTAGGCCACTTTTGTTCATAGTGTAGTATCCGATGAATATTTCCTAAAATAGACCAAATAGTTCGTTTAAATTTTGTGGATTCATTTTCTGCTCTATTTATCTCCAAGTTCATCGTCGCGTCAATGTATTTGTTAACGTGATGTTACGTGTATTAAAAGAGAAAATTGTTTCCTGTCAATATTTTTATCTATTTTTATCCAATATATCATAAACGATATGGAGAAAAATGTTCTGTCTTTAGCACCGTGTTTTATATATTGATAAATGAAGCAAAAACCGTCCTATTGTAATATAATTTGCATCAATTTCTGGTTGCTGTCATTCACACGTGACCCCGAACAAAACATAAAACTTAAAATAGTCTTCTAAATTGAAATGAATTATGCTTCAGTTGACTTGTAGCAGATCATAAGTAGGAAACCGTTGATGAATTTGAGCAGTATTTGTGTTGTAATTACCGTGATTTGATTAGGATAACAAAACTTTCTATTTTTATTTCCATTAATGCATTTACGTTTCGTCTCTTGTTTATTTTTAATTTTAAACGTAGAGGGAGCATTAAATTATAAATAAAACTCTAAATGACAAAAATAGGTGTTTGGAATCCTCGGTAGATCCAGTGTTTAGAGATAATTTTTCCTTTAGGGAGTCATAAAAGTAATAATAACTTAAGTTAAAATACACTATCTAAGAAGAGACGGTTTTAAGTGAATTTTTCCTGCTTTGTAAATTTAGCACCTAGATATTGTTAGTTAAACCGGAAATAACGAGTTGGAAATTTTCCTAGTGCTAACTTGTGACAATTTGATTTTCTAAAAAAAAAGGAAAAATGCAATTCTCCTTTAATTGCCTAATACGATTTTAAATTGCGGTTCCCAGTCAGAACTTTTGCATAATTTTCATTTAAATTTTCAACGATCATGTAAAAGCATCATCCACACCCTTCCCGCAACCTAATTATGAAGGGTATTACCGTATTACCACATTACTCTGGTCTTTCTATTAGAATTATTACTATTTAATCAAAATTTATGTAATACAATCAAATAGTTTTATATACTATAATTTCATTAAATTTTCTTACAAATTTAATATGAATATCGCGTTTTGCTGGATGAACTCTTTAGACGAACAATTAAAAAAATAACGACTTTGATGGGATCGTCGGACCTTTCAACAAAAGTCAGTCGAAGTCATTGCCATCATTCAGAGTTATGATGACAATTGAATTTTATTTATTGTAATCGTCGTAATGAGGAAGAATTTTCTAATAAACTCTTGGCAAAATCCGATGAGTAAGAAAATTTAACGACTTTTGAACCACCGTAACAACGATTTATCTTTCTTTCCATCATCATTATTACGGCGCGAACACTTCACGCGGCGGAGGTCACAAAACCAGAAACTATTTTTTTTTAATTTAGAGTAGGGATTATAATACCCTTCATCTATGTGAGGATTTTTTTTCCAAAAATTTAAAAATCACATTATGATATCCTAGCCAGTTCAGAACCTACCAAAATAAGTTTTCAAATATTAGGCAAGGGAACTTCTTTTTTGTTATTACCAACTTGTCCACAAAATTAAATATTGTTTTCTTATGTGTTGGGACAAACCTGTTTTGACATTCTTTGTAAACATGTTTAATAAAAATGAAGAAAACTGAAATTTAAGATCTGGTATGATCTACAGCTATAAACATAGGTTGGCGGTTGCGTTTCTGTCTACTGGTGCATGTTTCTGTTTCGTCGTGAATCCAAGAACCGACATGTATTTTATTTGCATTTAATTGAGAGAGCAACAGCCTTATCAGGAGAAACTCGATATGTTTGGTAAGATTTTAAAACCGCGATAGTAACACTAAAACAGTTTGGTAATTTAATCCGTTTTTATCAATAACATGTTCCGAAAATGTGCAAAGGATATGAAGTACAGTAGCCGTATAGAAGTGGAAAGTTTAAATTAACCACTAAAATAAGTTTTTCGCCTTACGAGTCTGATGGCATGGAGGTATTTAATTACAGGGACGTCTAGTTTTGTGCGTGTTTTGCGAGTAAAGTTATTTGTGGTATTAAAAATGACAAGGCCAGCATGAGTTTGATTTGTTGAATTGAAATCCTTTGAAGTGTTTTGGTTGCATTATGCAAAATATGAGTCGGAATGCCGGACGCTTCGTCCATCAAAACTATCTCGACAATACATCTGTGCGTGTAAACGACCTGAGGGCTATAAAAGCTTATTTTATAACATGGCATGTCTTATGAGTTATGAAAGTGTCTCGTCCTGATGAAATAATAATTGTGGAGATAATGTGTGTTTGTTCATGGTACATCGACTGTCCATGGTGAAAATACCGCCGATTGCCATTAACATATTTAAGATTCAACACGTCTATCAGACAAGCGAATCGTCTGCATGTGAAGTGGTTTTGCATTGGAAAAGAAAAGCCGAGCTGAAGCCAAAGTTCTTCCTTTCACTAGAGGAGAGTCAAGTTCAAGTTATTATTTACTTTTACACCATGGGAAGCACCTTTTTATTAGAGCGCGTATTGGATGGAATTCCATGGATGAAGGTCGACCGGTCATGCATTTTAGTCAACATATATTTCACCTAATGACTGTAGATCTATATGTGCCAGGTTTAAAATTCCATTGCGTGTGTACCTGCACAAGCATGACATGCAAAAGCCGGAAATAACATCACTAGCTCTTTCTAACATGCCACCGTTTTGCCCCGACGTTAAATTACCGAATACAAACAGGGAAATTGAACAAGTTGTCTACCACACCACTTCACCTGTTTGATTAACCAACCTAACTCAAGGGGAACTACCCTATACTCGCCGATTCGCACCTCGGTCTTGAACCATTCTAATTGATTCGCTCCCCGGATCTTATTCATTAACAAATTTTATCAACTTAGGGGGGGTCCGAGTGCCGCACACAGACCCTACATTGTATCACTACAACCGAGGGGAAACTTCCAACGAAAATTAAAAAAAGGACGACCTCTTTCATCCAAATATGCTCCTATGCCATCAAAATGTGATTTCGACTCGAACTGTTCCTTTGTCTGTATTATCCCTATTAGTTAATGACGCTATCAATAATGACTCCACAAATATAAAAGGGAAACCCTTACTGCTATCGCATTCCCTGATCTTATGGCACTTTCAAAATAGAGAATGTCTATTAAACGCTTATCCCCAAAATCAAATTAACTCGAATTTACTAGATGAAATAAAACGATCAGAATTTGCCACCGAACCTGTTACTACCAACTTACTAAAAAATTCATCAAAGACACTCAGTCGAAGATCATTTCCGGCCGCAATGACATATCACTTTTCTGTAAATGCGCTTTTACCACAACCTTTCTAACCAATTTCATCTTTTTTTAAGACACTGACTCAGACTCCGATTTTGTCGGATGCGTTACAAACCACTATGATTTATTTTAGCAACCTTTTTAAAACTAACAAATTCATGAAAAAAATATTCGATTGTATAAATTTCAAGTTTGAAGGACGCTGACTAACATTTTATGACATAAGACAAATGTTTTCAGTTTTTTCTTGCACACATGATGTTTTAAACCATATATTATGCTAATTGCCAGTGGCGATTTGATGATGACAATGTAGAGTGGCTATGAGCCGCCACTGCTTATTGCACTAGTTTTTTCCCTCGTAGAATTCAGTCTCCGTAATGAGAAAACTGATCCTGTTTAACGCTGTCATGCATAATAATTCGGCAAACATTCAAAAGCATAAGACGTTTCATGTTGCTGCTATTGTCGAAACGGTAATTATGGTGCACCACAATCTATAGATTATCTTTCCTTTACGAATGCATACATCAAAGTATTTTCTCATTAGTAGATTTGAGAAAACTCAAACACGGAATTTACTCTTTTGCAAAGGGAAATTTTTATGCACTAATTGGAACTTTAACAATTTTCAACCCAATTATAAAAAGGACTCAAAGACATTACATTGATTAAAAGACAAAACTGTTTGTAAAAAATGCGAGTCTCGTAAATTAATTAACAGCAGTGTGATATTTGGTTTGATTTACCCGAATATGTAAATCGAAGGGATTTGTGGTTTTCACAGCTGCTAGATTAAAACTCCTTAATTGTATAGATTACTTTACTGTAAATTTCTGCCGTTGATATCTGTCAAATCCACACCTTTGAAACATTTGATATGGAGATCGAAATTGCACTAGTTCTGTGGAAACTGTATCGACGATTTAATATATTTGCTAGGGGAAAAACAAGTTCCGTTCATTGCGTTCTATATTGACTCAAAGACCTGATTGCTTTCCTGTTGGAAATCGGTCAAAGTAACGTAACAATGCAATTTGGTAGAAGTTCGCGTACGCATGTTCTGTCACACCTGTCACAGAATGAAGCGTTTCAATGACCTCTAGCAAGTGTCATTACCCCTATAGGATGAAACTCCAGTCTACAGCTGAAGCAACAACTTGAAATGTGCTCTACCTGAGAGGATCTAACCTTGTTTCTGCCTCGGTTATTAGTTTCATTGTTAACCTTTTAATTTATTTTATTCACGAATTTCAGAAAAATTGGTTTATTGACTAGCTTCGACTTATCGTAACCATCTACAATAAGTGTGCCAAATTAAATGTTCGATAAAATCCTTTGGTTCGGT